ACGCCAGGTTGAGAATCAGTGTCCACAAGAAGAGCTGTTCACGATGTCACAAGTCGCTCACTGGAGTTGGTAGGGGCATTAAAAGGAAGTTTAACTTGTTTGTTCTCAAAACCTGTCCCACCATAGCTTTGGTGAAGTCACCCTGCTTTTGCTTAGCCTGTGCTTATAAAAGGAGTACAAAGGAGATCAGACAAGTTCATGTACTGGAAGAGAACGAAGACATAGATCAATCTTGCATGCCGCCCCTTCCCCCAGCCGTTAACACCTAACCCCGCCCCTCACAGCCCCATTAGTACTATCTTGAGATGACTTCTCCTTTGAGATGAACTCACCATACATTCTGCTGCCAGAGAGAATAGAAAGTTCCCTACAAACTGATAATGTGGATACATTTATAGTGGAATCAATGGTGATGTGTTTCTACAATTCTCCCAAAAAATAACGGCACAATTACTGATAAAAATTAGTTATTACATTGGTAAACTCTTCCACAATTTTTAGCTACTATCCCAATATAGGAAGTCAGTTTAATTAGAACAAAGAGCTACATTTTACAGCAACATCATCCAGTTGTATTGAGTGGGAGGCTTTGTTATTCAGAAATCACACATCTCATTAGACATTGGTAAACATTACCAAAATAATATGATAGCCATTGGATGTGGATTGATAATATCTGGCTTTTTATATTTACAAAAATCACCTCATATATTTTAATATGGTGTTGAACTGTGATGGTTGGGTCAACTCATTCTTCTGCTTGATCTACTTGGGGAGACAAAAAAGATCCGATCCCACCAACAGGTTTTCGAAGGGAACTAACTGCAGCACTAGCCACATTCAAATTTTTCCAGGTAGGCATTTTGGTTAGGCAAGCACCTACCATTTGCTGAGGGAGTTTCTAAGGATACAGATTTGCATTTAATCAATAAAAACCCTGAAAAAAGACTATAATCTCAAACTATTATCTAGCGTTTATGTAAAGTCTAGGCATATCTTCAGAGGACTCTTAGGAATAACAAGTAGTCCCCCCATTCTCCTGTAAGTCTAAGGTTTATTCTTTTAAAAAGCTAAGCCATCAGAAAGCAAAGTATGTACTCCATTTTACTTAAATTAGAAGTAGCATTACTGTAACTAAAGAGTACAATGGTATCTTACTATGAGGATACTCTCAGAGCATTTCCCTAAAAAGTCCTGCACACATATACGTAGGGGACTGGGTTGAGGGGAGGGAGTGGAAGCCGGGGAGATAGTTGTGATGAATTTTTTTCACTTGTTATTTGTAAGAACACTGCTCCACTCCACATTTTTCCTTTATAACAATTCATATGAAAAATTTCTTATGAAGTTCAGCTTTGGCTAATCTGGGAAACCACTGTTTTTAGTTCATGAAAAGTTTCATGACCATATTTGCTCTTCATTTTTATTATTAGAAAGCCTCAAACCTATACATTTACTTTAATATTTGTGTATGTCTTAATAATAGATTCTACTTTATGTTTACCTTATATCTCATATTTTACTTTTATATTTTATCATTAACCATAGCAAATCTTTGGGATAAAAGAAAGTAGACATTTTCTCTCTGACCTCTGAGTTATTACGGTAACCATCCCAATTACAAATGTATACAAAGATATAATATAGCTCCTAAAATTAAAATGTATATAGAATTCAGAATTCGTGTAATTATTCTAGACAACATAATGTTAATAATTTAATATGAATTTTCATGCACTTTTCATACTGTAGCTAAATATATAAAGGACACTTAAAAGTAAAGATTTGAGATATAGACTATTAAATGTCATAGGATTACCCAGCATGTTTTAACAGATTAAAATATAACCCTATCTTTCTACTTTCAAATAAATATGGAATTCCTTGTGTGGGGCTTATGATCAAACCAAATGTTTTTTACTCAATGTGAAAATTCAATCATAATTGTCAAAGATCAAGCTGCTACTTCTGATAATAAGCACGATGAGATATCATCTTGTTCAATATATGCTTTCCACTTCACACGTAGACTAATAAAAAATAGGAAATTCTAGTACTTATTTTCTTTCTCTACAACAGAAGGCTGCTAAGAGGGATGATCAAAACATCCAGTCTTGTTGCCTGAAAATACAGTTAACTCTATTATCTGGAGACAGATTAACTGGTTTGCAGATTAACTCTAGTAAAATAATAACAGCATGCGTTCCATTCATAAAAGATTTTAAAATTACTGTGCATCAGTGACTGCCTCTCAATACAGGAGGCTCTCTATTTGCAACTACACAATAACTAAGAGACACACTGTGCGTCTACTGCATTGCCATTCACTCAACAGCTATTTATTGAATATTTACTGTATACCAAGCACTGTATTAGGCTAGTCCACCTCATTAATCAGAACTAATCTCTTGTCAACAGGTCTCTTTCAAAGAATACATGAGTGAGAGCATGCGGTCAACGCTTTGTGAGTCTACTATAGTTCTGAGATGCAAAACCTGGAGAGAGACAGACACTTGGCACCGTGACACAAACTCCAGTAGACAGGTAGGTGCGGACTTAGCTTCTCCCCCACCTTGCTCCTCATCCTGCTATTCATCCTTTGCTTGCCATCTGAGGGAAAGCCTGAACCTTGCAGTGCAGCTTCCTTTGTTGTCCTCAGTCCCCCAGTCCATAATCACCACCTCCTGACAACTCCCTAGGTGTTCCTTAAATGTGTACACTTTCCTCCGTCCCCTCTCCCATTTCACCTCAAACCCCTTTGCCACTACTGTAGCTCGAACTTCCTGCATCTCAAAGAAGAGGTGCTGTGATATGGTAGACGCTCAAATAATTGTTAAATAATTGAATAAGGTGCGTCACTCATATGCCCTTTCAGACACTGAGGTAAACAAGGGGGAGGAAACACCAAAAACAGCCTGAACTGGTTCTTTTTTGAGCAACCACTTCAAATACGTCAGTAGCATGGAGTAATCTTTGACACTCCCCTTTTTTCCCTCACCTCCCTTGGTCTTCCCTATCTATCTTCTCAGTTTGATTTCCTCTGTCCGGCTCCTAGGTCACATGCTACAAGTCAGCCAATCACAGAGTCTCTCCCCACTGTATCCCTCTAACCCAGTGTTGTCCAGTAGAACTTTCTGCAATGATGGAAATGTGCTATATTTATGCTGCCAGCACAAAGGAACACTTGATTCGCTTGAAACATGGCAAGTGTGACTTAGAAGTTTAACTTTTAATTTTATTTAAATTTTAATTAATTTAAATTTAAATAGCCACGTGTGGCTAATGGTGACAGTACTGGGCAGTGTAGCTTCTGTTTGTCCATACTGCTCTTAGAATTATCTTCCTGTAGGACATCTGACAACATCGCTTGCCTTACAGGAAGAAATACCATGCCTCCATAAAACCTTTACCATAAGGCACGACATTTGAAGCTTTTCACGATCTAGACCAACGTGCCATCTCATTTCCATTATCTCCACGCCTCTCCCATCGAGGCCCCAGCTGTACTGGGTCGCTCGGTTTACTCACACATGCCACGATGTAACCTTTATACACACTGTTGGTTCTTGCTTAGAACTGCTTTTCCTCTCAGGAGGCATTCACGCCCTCTTCCAGAGCCAGCTCAAATTCCTGTTCCTCTCGGAATAATTAACTGCCCTCCCTCCCTCTCTTAACTCTGCTGCCGTAACTTTTTGAATACAGCTCCGTTAGAACATTTGATCACAAATAATAGTGTACATGTATAAAATATAAGTCCATGTATGCTAGGATAACATTAACCACACACATTCAATGAGAGGATCAGGTCAAACACTTGGCACAGGAGTAAGGAGGCACTCTATAAATGTGCAAAGGCTTCAATGCAGGTGTTATGAGCTACATCACCCATGCTAGGGACCTGAGCTGAATACAGAAGGCTAAGAAAACGAGGAGAGGAAAATACAAAGAGGAGAGGAGCAGGGAAAGCTCACGAGGCACTGAGACCAGTGGTGGCTGAAGTCAGGGAAACTGTGTAAGGAAATTCATGGAAGTACCAAGAGGTTAACTATCCAGTAACCCAGAGCTGAAGTGGATCCTGTTTCTCACCTTCCCTTCCTACAGGCAATTGCACTAATCAGATTCCTTAGTCAGGAGAGTAGAAGCTACCAGGTCAAGAACAAGAGAAAGCTTTCCCTGTGATTTCCAATGGAGAAGAATGTGTTGTAAGCAGATCAATAAAGCATTATTACTATGGCCCAGTTCTTAGAGAAGAGGTCTGTTATACAGAACATTGACTATATTTGCTGTAAGAAAATACCGCCCCTGGAAGAACCCAGCAGAAAAAAAAAAGAAAAGAATCTCTAAATTTACTCCATTTTCATATCCTCTAAAAGTATATTAAGATAGAAATATTTCAAAATCATCAGTGACATCTGTGGTGTTTTTTATACCAAATAATTTTCCTTTTATACAAAGTAAATTCACTTTTCTCCCCCTTTAGTCTGCTTGCAAAAAAAAAAAAAAAGGCAAAGAAATATTTGAATAAAGATTTTAGTGGCAATCCTAAGCAGTTCTCTCGTTCGTTCTCTCTCTCTCTCTCTCTCTCTCTCTCTCTCTCTCTCTCTCTCTCTATCTCTCTATATATATATATATATATATATATATATATATATCTCAATCATCATGTGCAGGTACCTGAATCGAATGACTTTTAGGTTTAAACAATATTTTAAAGTTCCATTTCATTAACTTGAGAAAGCATAATGTTTCGACATAATTTTGTAATTAAATTCCTTCAGTTGGATTTGCAGATCAGAGAAAATTAATATTTGGATGTAGTTCAGAGGTTGAGTCAATTAGCTTAGTTCACTCTGGGTTTGGGTTCATGGTTCATTTAAGTTCAAGTTCGTAATAAAAGGGCACATCAAAATAAAAACACTTAAATAATGTAATCAGGGATGACATTTTAAGAGTTAAGTGTTCAGGCAAATATGTGTTTAGAAAAAAAAACAACAACTCACTTTACAGAGAGAGCTAAGGTTAAATCCGAAGGTTTGTGCATTCCGGGAGCCGGCGTTCATGTAGTTTCCCATTAGCAACACAAGTTCCAGCAACTTACTAAAGCTTCGGCTCTTCTTTATCTCTTCGCAGGCAGTGCTGACAGCCATGATGTCAGGTTTGATGTTGTTCACCTGCTCTTCAAACTGAAGCTTAAAGAGAATAGCACTGAGCCGTGGCCGCAGGCTCTTCACGGTGCTCATCTGATTGAAAAGAAAATAGCAGATTCCCTTTAAAATGCATGGTATACTTTAGTACTGTACGACTGCAAGTAATCTGGGATGATTTATTGGTATGACAGTACCTAGGAAGCAATATGTCCCCTAAAACTGATAGCAGGGAAAGAGAAAAGCCCTGCTTGTTTTTCTGAGGATTGCAGACTCATCCCTCAAAACAGAAAAAAAAAAAAAAATTAACATTTGAGTTACTCAGTGAAATGAAAGCTTTCATTAAATGATAAAGTTTAATAAAGTACATGTCATTTTTAAAAACCACTAAATTGTAAAAAAAAGGTGACCGGATACAGAGGTCACACATTACAAAGCATTTATACTATTAATTTTTCTTCAATACTGAAACATGCTGGGTCACGTTTAAAACATATTCAGGAAGGTGGAAAGAGGGTTTCTTTTCTTCAAATAGCAACTGCTGTCCTCAGAAGCGCTGTTAACAATATGTGTTAGATAGAGGGACAGTAAATAGGTCCCAATTTGTACAAAATTGACTTGCTTCAGAAACAGGAAAGTAGGATGACTCCTGACACATACTGAATCAGAGTTAGGAAGCGTGGGGATAGCAGAAGACTGAGGAGGTGCAAAGCCACAGGTCTATCACATGCCAAATAACCCCGTTTAGGACTCTGGGGTCCCTGTTGGGAATATAGGTGATCGAACGGGTCAAAAAGAACAAAAGGGCTAGAGGGTCAGCGAGCTCTTGTCTTACACTTACTCCCCCATGTTCTAGCAACACAGCTGAGGGGGAGATACGTGAACCCCTTGGCCAAATGCATTAGGAACTTGAGACTTAAAACAGGTTGATGGGGTAGTAACAGTATGACTGTTGAACTTCAATAACTATTGAAAATAGTGAAAATAACTACACTGAAAAACATAGAAAAATATGTCATGACTTTCCCGATGACCCAATATTATAAACATCAAAAGCAGTTTCAGGCAAGGTCAAAAAACAAAAATAGTGATAGAACATGATAGAGTTAAAATAGAAAATAGTTCAGTCAGTAACAGAACTGAAAAAAAAAAGCTGCAAGTGTCTCTTGAAGCTCATAGAATTTCTGGTAGAGAGGCAGAAAGCTCTTGCTAATAATACAATGATTGTTATTTAAAATAAAATATGCCATTCAAAAGCCTGAACTTAATAGAGCCAACAGGATAATACAGACAGTGCCTTAATGATGCAACGATATAATCCAGCATACTTGACTCACAAGAACTAAGCAATGAAGACGTAGCTCTCAGTAGATACCATGGGGGAGTATCTTTACATGGACCAAACCCTTGTAGTGATGGAAAAGTTTCTTAGAAAATAATCCAAATATCTAATTTACATCTAGCATTCTTCCCAAGCACTTGACATGTGAAATGTTTATGTGTCTACAGCAGCGGTTCTCAATCTTTCACGGGGTCGCCTAAGACCATCGGAAAACACATATTTTTGATGGTCTTAGGAACCGAGACACCGCCCCTCTATCCGTCTCCAGGCCCATATGCAGATACGCCCACATACGAGTACCCGGCGACCCCTGTGAAAGGGTCATTCGACCCCCAAAGGGGTTGCGGCCCACAGGTTGAGAACTGCTAGTCTACAGCCAAGATTCTAAGAGCTCAACTAATACATTGGGTTGTTGGGAAAAGTCCTGACGTATTTTGTCTATGTTTTTCAATGGTCATTTATTTATATAAAGAACAAAGATCAATCAATGATATATTGACCATTTTGTTCGATAACCTTTTGCCATCTTTCAGTGAGCTTCATAATTCCTCGTTCATACAAGGACCTTTCTTTATTTGCGAAAAACTGAACAAGGTGCTGATTTACAGCCTCATCTGAATTGAACGTTATATACCACACAAGGAGTTTTGAAGAGAGCGAGACATATGGAAATCTGACAGTGCAAGGTCAGGTGAGTATGATGGGTGTGGCAACACATCCCATCCAAACTCCAATAATTTTTGACAGGTGATCAAACTTGTGTGTGGTCTCGCATTGTCACGATGGAACACAACTCCTTTACAATTAACAAGCTCTGGATGTTTCCGGATGATGGATTCGTTCAAACTGTCCAACTGCCGACAGTACACATTCAAATTGTTTGGTACCTTGGTAGGAGCTCAAAAAACACACCTTTAAAATCCCACAACACTGAGAGCATAACCTTCCTCTGATGAATGTCTGCTTTAGATGTCGTTTGAGGAGAATCATCACGTCGGGACCAAGATGGTTTGTGCACCACATTGTTGTCAACAATCCACTTCTCATCACCCAGTTATCAGTCGCTTCGAAAAAGGATCGTTTTCCTCATGTTTAATGAGCATATTGCAGATGTTTATACGAGTCGTCAAATAAACTTCTTTGAGTTCATGCGGAACCCAAATATTGGGCTTGCTTACGTATCCCAGCTTCTTCAGAATGTATTCACAAACATTCTGGTTGTGAATGTTTGAATGATGGATGTTCAATGTTTCTGCAATCTCTCGTGTCGTGTAATGTGGGTTTGACGCGATCAATGCCTTAATTTTGTTGTCATCAACCTCGGTGGGCCTCCCTGACCAAGGAGTATCATTGAGATCAAAATCACCAGCACGGAAATTCGTGAACCATGATTAGCACTGACATTCTTGTAGAGCATTGTCACAGTAAACTTTATGCAACTTTTTACAAGCTTGACACGCATTCTTCCCTTTATGGAAGTAAAACAGTAAAATACGGCAAAAATGCACAGTTTGGTCATCCATCTTCAACTTGTTGTAAAATCTCCAAAACTCAACCAAATTGCTCACTTTTTTAGAATGAAGCTAGAACTGTCAGCTGTCAACTTACATAGCAATAACATAGATGCAGATGACTCTAGTACTTCCAAAAATGAACATGCATCATGACTTTTCCAACAACCCAATAGTTAATAAAAATCTCTTCTACAAAGTACTTTAAGGACCATCTTTAAACTCCTTGACTTCCAGGAATGTCCCTAAATTCCCCTATCAAGAGAAAATAATTTTTTTCCTCCTAGAAGAGAGTAAAAAACTCCTACAAGCTCAAAGACATTTTTTTAAAGTAAAAAAGAAACATTACTGATAATGGTTTTATATAATAGAATAAATTTAAGTAATATAAAATTTTAGAAAGACAAAGTAAGGCCCTATTAGAACACCCATTCTTCGTGGCCATGGCTCATTCTGTTTGAACATTGTGTGTTTAGCACACAAAGTAGAAATAAGCAGTGATTATTTCTCAGAAAGTCACTTCATGTGTCTTAAAATGCTCCCAAATGGACTCACTTCCCTGGAATTCATATCCTTACTTAAACATTGCAAATGGAAGAGACTCCTATCATATTGGACCAATTCTGTATAACGCCCTATTATACTTAATATATTCTTTAGAACAACAAGATGTTCAAAAGAACACGTGCATAAGTACATCTAGTTATGGCCATTCCCGAGGTGTGCAAAGCCCATGGCATCTCTGTTTTGTCTATGCCCTTATTCACGATTATGAAGTCAGGCATTTAGCACGTTGCAATAAACACAAGAAGAAATTCTCCAGTATCCCATGCGAAACACCAGTATTACAAAACATATTCATTTTAACATATACTAGTGTATTACTTTGTGCACAAAGAGAAAAAAACAAAACAAAACACTGCTTAAATGGCTATATGATACTGCCCCAGAATATGTTACAGCTTTCCTGCTGACAGGCTAACCATATGCAGCCAGTACGAAGTAATTAATTTTCCTAGAAAAACATAACCTAGATTTGTATGAGTAATGAGTCTACCTGGTACCAGGGACAGGTACCTTGAAAAGATAGAGTAAGTCTATGATGTAATGCGGAACAAAGTGCTATGTGTTCATGAAAAACCCTGACAAAGCAAAGTCAGGAAAGGCAACCAAACAGGTCTTTGACCGATATTCATCAGATGTCCTTTTCATATTGTTCGTTCTTCCAAATTCGGAAAAGTTCGTATTTTCACTGATACGAGATAAATGCACTTTAGGGAACGAAATCGCTGAGCTGCAAAGAACCCTGAGAGATCACCTAAAGCCACGTAGTTTCGGTCGATAGTCCACTATTTAGCCTACTATGACCCCTAGGCCAAAATGGCTGCCCCTTTAAAAAAATTTCAATGAAAGCTAATGTTCTAAGATCTAAATCATGGGGTCCATGATAATAATAGCAGGGCTCTGTTTCTTATTAATCAAATCAAAGCTTGTTTCTTCAGAAGGGATCAAAGAAAAAAAGGTTTTAAAAATGGGAAAGTATTGTTTCAAAACTCTGAAGAAAGTTTCATCACTTCACACATTCTATAAACACGGGATGTGCATTCTATTTGTGCCAAGGAGCCTAGATCTCTGGCGTGGCGGACACAGCCTACGCTGAATGCAAAAACAGAGAGCTACAGTGAGCAAACACTCTCAATGGTAACAGAAAGTCACAAAACAAAGAGCGAAGAAAAGGCTATAGTACAAGGAGCTAAGATAATAATTAGAATGTTAGAAGGAATTGGAATTTCAGTTTTACAAAAGTGTCCTTTAAATTTATTTTTACTGGATCTTAGCAAGGTAAACCCACAGCACCAAAATCTGACAATAATGAGATATAACCTGAAAATCAATCTAAAGATAAAAAAATAAAAAAAAATTTTATTTCACTACTATTCTTTGAAGGTAAAAGCGGTATTCCTGCAGTCTTCCCACCTACCACCATCTGATGACACATGCCAGAAGGCAATAACCTGAAAAACAATAACTAGAGAAAATCTAACAATGAGCAAAATCCAGCATTCTAAGGACATTTTTATTTCAAAATTTTGTTTGTTGGCAACGTATGCGTGGTTGGAGCAGGGACAAAAATACGGTGAAAAGACCTACAGAAAATCAATGATCCAACAAGTACTGACTGGGTGCCCACTCCGTGCTATGAGGGGCACAGAGTCGTGGCTGCCGCCCTTACAGCATATTTC